ATATATATACATATATATACATATATATATATATATACTGTATATGTATATGTATATGAATGACCAGCTTATTTCCAAAAAAACAATTTTGCAGCTCCCCATCCTTTCCCTCCTGCTTCCCCCAGTTGAGAGCTGCCTTCTGTCAGCACTTTTCCTATTCGAACCTGTCTTACATGTACATCCAATGTTGAAAAGGGAGTAAAGATAGAACCCAAAAGACTTATGAGGACTTGTGGAGGTGGTGTAGGGAGCAGGCGCTCAGGCCTAACGTTTATTCACTATGAGGGTAGTGTGTTTTTCAATTTGTTTTTCTGTTTTAGCCGTACACAAACGAACAATCACGCACACGCAGCCGCACCATTCCTCAGTTGGCCCAGTAGGGGGAGCTGCCATAACTGGACTTGCTGCCTTGGGGTTTCTGCTGCATGCTGCTGGACTGACTACGCTGTCCAGGGCCCCCCTGCACAAAAAGTGACTCAGTCCATCAGTGTTAATGGAGCTATGGGTAACAACTTTAAAAACACAATAGTAGATGTATTTAAATCTGTCCAGGACTGACTCACTGGTTTGCGAGCAAAACATTGTGAAGCTGGTCCTTAACTAACAGAGCTTTTGGTCATTAAATAAACTCTAAATGAGAGACTATTGTGATTTAGTAAAAGGAACCAACAACAGCTTACCTGTCCCTCCTGTGTCAGGTGATGGTGCAGCAGCTGGGAGTGGGGCTGTTGGTGTGGAGGCAGGATGTGCAGGAAGGGACCGTGGGTATAGCCTAGTGTCCCCCCAGGATTCAGGGGAGCTGTTCCTCCGAGTGCAGAAGGTAGGCTGAAGGGAGGAGGTGTTCCTGTGTGAAAGCCCTGTTTGTCGAAGGAGGGCAGGAAAAAAAAAAAAAAAAAAAAAAAAACAGCCAGAAGAACTTGGTGTGAAGTAGGTTTTAAAATCAAAAGAACATTTATACAGAACTGTACTAAAGTTCAAAGCAGATGTAAACATCTACCACCACAACTATTGATGCTCTTAAATTAAATCATTTAATAAAGTGATCACCTGTGTTTTACTGTAGATTGAACCTCCCATCTCAGCCACTCCTCCACTGGTACCTGACGCAGAAAGTCCTGGAGCTAAGAGAAGAATAAGGTGGAGGAGAGGAAGTAGACATGTTGAAATAAAAGAAATGGAGGAAAAAAATACATAAATAAAGAATGTAAAATTCAAAGGAAAGAAAAAGCACAACTCTCTGTCTGGTGGTTTGAACATTTCAGAGAATGGATGCTTATTTTTGCTGTTGGTTTAAGGTGACCAGCCAGAAGGGAGAAGCATATTAAGTGAGGAGGCACCAGGGCATGTTTCTCACTTTTCACCCTCTGGCAGTTTGTATTAATGTGCACATTGGGGTGCAGTCACACACGTGCAAATACACACCTATGTCGAGAACACTCTTGGCAGTAGAATAATTGAGCAATTGTGAGTAAATCAATTTTCCCACAGCAAAGGAAATGCTTGCTGACTTTGTGTGTTGCGTCATATTGTGAACGCATGTATTGTGTATGTACCTTTCCCTGGGCCGCTGCCCGCTGACTTGGCCTGTGACTGGGCAGAGCCTCCGTACCCTCCCTTACTGTACTCCCCAGCATGGGCTTGAGAGAGGTCATCAAAGGCTGAAGGAGGAACAGCAGAGAAGAAGAGAAAAGAAGCAGAACCAGCAGAGAGAGAGGGGTAGTGAGAAATGGATAGGATAGGAAGTGAGAAATAGATGAGGTGAAAAGAAAGGAGGATGTTGAGGGAGGGTAGGCATGAGGCATAGGAGAGAGAAGCAGTAAGGTAATCTGACTACAATGGCAGCTGCGTCTATATTGAGTTGTGCCTATCTTCAGCATGGGGTTTGAGCTACGCATGCCGCACAAGCCCCCCCCCAAAAAAAAATAAGAAAATAAAAAAAAAAAACACACAGGGCCCACTCCACATACAGTATGTCACAAAAGTGAGTACACCCCTCACATTTCTGCAGAGATTTCATTATAATGTTTAATAGAACAACATTGAAGAAACATCGCTTTGACACAATGAAAAGTAGTCTGTAAAGCTTATATAGCAGTGTAAATTTATTTTTCCCTTCAAAAAAAAAAAATCAAAATATAGCCATTAATAGCTAAACCCCTGGCAACAAAAGTGAGTACACCCCAAAGACACTACACCCCTAAATGTCCAAACAAAGCACTGCTTGTCATTTTCCCTCCAAAATACCATGTGACTCGTTACTCTTACTAGGTCTCAGGTGTGAATAGGGAGCAGGTGTGTTCAATTTGTAGTACAGCTCTCACACTCTGTCATACTGGTCACTGAAACTCCCAAGATGGCACACCATGGCAAGGAACTCTCTGGGGACCTTAAAAAAGAATTGTGGCACTACATAAGGCTGGCCAAGGCTACAAGAAGATTGCCAACACCCTGAAGTTGAGCTGCAGTACAGTGGCCAAGATCCTCCAGCGTTTTAAAAAATCAGGATGCACTCACAACAGGGCTCGTGTTGGACGTCCAAAGAAGCTGAGTGAACGTGCACAGCGTCACATCCAAATGCTATCTAAGAAAGATAGGCGCAGGAGTGCTGTCAGCATTGCTGCAGAGATTGAAGAGGTGGGGGGTCAGCCTGTAAGTACTCAGACCATA